AGACATGAAGTCTGCCAGTGTACCTACTGCAAAACCACGATTGCATACTACAACGGCGACGACTCTGATGCCGATGTATGATGTAATTGCCGCTTGCACACCTATCACCACCATCACCACCACCACCAGCATGACTACTCTGCGCCCCACGACGACAACAAGGATGAGCACTACTGCGACTACGACTGATGCTTTTGCTGCTGCTGCTGGTGCCACCGCAGCTGTCGCTGCGGCCACTGCCCCACTACTTCCTGCTGCCTGGCAGGCTGGAGAATTGGGCTCCAGTCTTGCGTGCCCAGGTTTCGGAGCATTGAAAAGTCGAAATCCGTCGACCAAAACCCCACACTCTCAAAGCTACAAACCAACGCCAACCCCACAACACCCTGTCAAAGTCTTGCACTGCGAAACCGCAAATCACTTATTGAAAGCCATCCAAGTCTTATGAGGCCAGCCCAGCCTTTGAATTACTTTACATCGTCATTGTTCCAAAAATCGCGAAGACCGCCTGCCTCCATCTGCACGCCCCGGAAGGCACAGTGGCGGCTAGGGACGCGGAAAACGCTGCGAAGCAGCCGCCGCAGGAGCACCTGGGGACTCGAATTACAAGCGCAGGACGGAATGCATCGGAAGGAGCAGAGGACTGTTCAATGAAAAGCTTTCCGGTATTGAGTTTGGCTGCGCATGGTCTCTCAGAACTGGACCGCCTTGAGGCCGCAATGTGGATGGGTGGCCGCCGAGTGTGCAGGTTCGTAGATAATGGTCAAGGCAAGGGATCCAACCTTCGTTTGCCCCTGGCTACTCTCAGAGTCTCCGTGCCCTTGACAGCATTGCCGCTGTCAAGAAATGTAGAGTTTCAGGGTTGCAACCCATTCATTGGCTGAGTTGTTCGGGATTATTGCTTGCGGTCTTGTGCGGCTTTGGGAATAATAGGGCTTCTGAGACAACTGACTTCTGTGCAGATGCGATGTGCATTTTCGCATGTCTGGAGATACAATTGATGTGTCTACGCTAAACCGCAACGCGTTGCAATGCTCTGCTAGTCACCTAGTCTACAGTGTGATGCTTTGTGGCGCGTTGCATTTTCTCTTGTTCCGCTTTACTTTCGCCTGCCCAGTGCAGCGCCATGAACTCGGAAGCAGACCCTGGGCCCCCAAGGCTGAAGCCCTGAGGCCCTCGCCGAGCCAATCACCAGACGGCCGAGCAGGACAAGGGTCTTCGGAACACCGAAGCCTTGGGATTTAGGACTCAGGTCTTTGAGGCAAGGTTTGGGAGATGAGGTCTAGCTTCGTGTGTGCAGTCGTGACAGTGGAAACCCCCCCCAAAAAAAACACCAAAGCCCTGATCCCAAAACCTCAACATGTTCGAGCTCCACCCTAAATCATCATAATTCTAGGTTTGAGGCTCAGCGGGGAAATGCCGAAGTTCATAAGACCTCTTATCAAGCAGGTGGCCAGCCGCACAGACGAGGAGGCCAAAAATGCCACTGAAGCGTGCATAGAGTGGCACCTCGCACGGGGCTCACGGAGTAAGATATGTCGTGCTTGAGCCGCTGGAGGTAAGACAGAGGGCCTGAAAGTTTGGGGATTTTAGGAGGGCTTTGGCCTCAAGGTTTGGGACGAAAGGCAGCTGATCTCGGAGACAATGAAGACTCACGTCCAGAATCCCCTCTGCAAACTTCAGGTTCCATGAGGAAGATGTCTCGATTGGCAACGTCCTAGGATGCTCACCTGGTTTCCGATAGGAACACTAGCAATGCAAGTAACAGCGACGGAGACGGAGCGGGAGCAGCAGAGCAGGAGAGCAGGAGAGCAAAAGAGCAGGAGCAAAGTGAGGAGTGAGGAGGAGCAGGAGGAGGAGGAGGAGTGAGAAGTACACGTCGTCGTCGTCGTCGTCGTCGTCGTCTTCGTCGTTTTCGTCGTCGTGGTCGTGATGGGGGTGGTGGTGCTGGTGGTGGTGCTGGTGGTGGTGGTGCTGGTGCTGGTGCTGGTGGTGGTGCTGGTGGTGGTGCTGGTGGTGGTGCTGCTGCTGCTGCTGCTGCTGCTGCTGGTGCTGGTGCTGGTGCTGGTGCTGGTGCTGGTGATGGCGGTGCCGTGGTGGTTCATTTCTATGGGTCTGCTTGTTACTACGCCATGTCTACCTGCTACTCGGAAAACCGTGCTCTTCCAGTGCATATGATGCTTTGGACCATTATCGTTGACTTCACAAGGACCCATGAAATCAATGTACTGATTCGCAGACCCTTTTTGCACTATCACGACTGCTTTATGCTTGAATTACTCCGGATGGTCTTGGTTGCTGTCGCTGCGACGGTTCTGGTGCAGTTCGTTATGTTTTTGCTGCTGAGTCTCAGAAGAGTTGCCTACTGAGAGCATGATCCCTACAATTGCTACCGGTCTTGGTATATCTATGATCACGAGTAGTGACACTGCGGGCACCGATGACTATCATGGCTACTCTTTTTGGCGCTACTATGCATTTGAGAGAGATGTGGTCTCCCGCCTTTGCACAGCACAGCCGCAGATGCGCCGACATCGCGGCAGCCGAAATTACTGTGGGCGTCCAAAAAACGTGGTTCCAGTATTGACAACCCCTCCGGAAGCTGCAGACCTCTGTCGTCTCGAGTCTAAACTAAACCTAAGGAACTTGCACGCTAAACCCTCAACCTGGATGCTAAACCCCAAGCCTGAGGCCCTACTGCCACAAACAATTACCAACACCCATGCTCTGACCCTGTGCAACCTCATGGTTCTACCATAGCAGCCTGATACATGCGCATGGGCAACACGCACGGCCGACCCGCACCTAGTTCTACAAAGCACACACCACCATCAACATCACCGTCGATTATTTTCATTGACAGCACTATGAGCCGAGGCTGCAGCCTCGGCGGTACTCAGAGGATTGTCGTTGCAGGAGAGCCAGCCGACCTCCGCCCAAGGGGGCCAATTGCCGACCCACTTTCGGGGGTGAAGAAACAGGGTGTGATTGCGCTTGCCCGAAAAACACATTCAAAACCCTACACACAACTTGAGACTATCGACGCCGCGAAAGGCCTTACATTGAAACTGCGTCTAAAGTCACGGATAGGGGAAGATCATGCTAGTAATTTGTCCGGGCTAGGGGCTGTTCGGAAACAAGCCTTTACACACCTTGTTATTGCTGGTGTTGTGCTTACCATGACGACTCACGTTGGATATCGTTGGATCGTGCTACGACATATCCTGTTTCCATGGTCACATTCCGTCGGCGTGATCACATGGGCAATGAAGGCGGATGCGGTCTTTCGGCCTCGTAGGAAAGCTAACGGTCTGCGGAGGTGCCGTAAGTTGATGCAACCCAAGCTTGTGCAAAACTTGCAACTTTGGCAACACCACACCAAAGAAACCCTTTTTCGGAATCCTTCTGATGGTTTTAGCTTCTGGTCCACTTCCAGAACTCGAAGGTTGAAGCCTCCGAACATGACTTTCCACAGCAGCCCCCCCAAGGTCCCAGTCGTCTTCCCGGAGCTCACCACCTCAAGCAGCAAGCAAGCAGCTGGCCTGCTTTACACCCTCACTCGGCCGGTTGTTCACATCCTGGACATACCTGTGGCCCAAGTCGCGTTTCTTGGCAAACTAGTACGTTCCTCAAGCCTGAACCCTATCTAACAGCTCCCGCTGTAGCTGGGGAGGGCTTGGCTTCAGAACTTCACGACCATGGTGCAGGACACCCGAAACTCTTACCACGTGCTTGCAAAAGTACAGGACTTCCCCGCCAGGCTTCTCGGTGCGAAACACAAAAATCAATACCTGGGTCTAAGTTCCCGTGCCTCGGTCGTGCAATGTTTCTGTTCTAGCTCCCACTATATTGGAGTAAGGACCCTCGGCGCGGTTGGACGCTGGGTAGGCTTGCGGTTCCTTTGTTGGCATTATCAGCCGTTCTTCGGGTGTTTGTTGTTGTTGTTGCTGCTGCTGTTGCTGTTGCCCGCAAGTTCTAGTGATACACCTAATGCTCTGTTTTGCGAACAACTGCGTGTGTAGAGTCCTCGGACCGGCGCGTAAGGTGCAGTTTTGCGCTCTGCACGGGCTGAGTCCACGGACCGCCGTGTGAGGCAAGTCTTGTTAAGCTGGTGGCAGATTGTTGCGAGGCAAGACTGGCCAGCTATGGGCTTGCTGTGTTTTAGGCCAAGCTTGGTCCGTATGGTTTCTGGTTTGCTGAACATGCCCAATAGCTGGCCATTCATGAAGCCTCGTAATCCTTCTCCGTATAGCCTGATGGCGGGAGAGGCTTCCAAGACCGCGCTTAGTTTTGCGGTCACAGACATGCATACACATGCACAAGCATATGGCCATACAGGTGGTCTATATTTGCGAAGTGAAGCGTGTTTCTGATTAGCTGCGTTATTGCGTGCTCAATGCTTAGTTGGAACTGTAGACTGTATATTCGGTTTCGGGACACATGAACCGTAAGGGACCAGACTACCGGCACGAGCGTCTGAATGGAAATGAAATGTTGCTGTTGCTGTTGCTGTTGCTGTGGCGATTGGTGTTGGTGTTGGTGGTGGTGGTGGTGGTGGTGGTGGTGGTGGTGGTGGTGGTGGTGGTGGTGGTGGTGGTGGTGGTGGTGGTGGTGGTGGTGGTCGTGGTGGTGGTGGCGGCGGCGGCGGCGTTGGTGGCTTTGGTGGCTTTGGTGGCTTTGGTGGCTGTGGTGGCGGTGGTGGCGCTGGTGGCAGTCGTGGCGGTGGTGGCGGTGGTGGCGGTGGTGGTGGTGGCGGTGGTTTCGGTGGCTTCGGTGGCTTCGGTGGTGGCTGGCTTTAGTGACTTTGGTGGCTTTGGTGCCTTCGGATGGCTTCGGTGTCACCGGCGGCACTGCTGCTGCTGCTAGTCATGGTGGGTGGTGCTGGTGGTGCATTAGTGCCTGTGCTGGTGCCGGTGCTGGTGCTGGTGGATCTTGAGGAATTAGAGAGGACAATGCGACAACACTCTTCAATCCACCCTTTTCGCAAACTTCTGCCAATCGGCCGTATCGGGTAGCGCCAGAAGGCTCGGCTCTTCTCCCAGCTCACCTGGTGGGAGCTGATGCTCAACGAAACGTATGTCACGGCTGGACGCTTGGGGTTGTCAAAGGGGCTTGGAGTTGCGGCTTCTAGGGACTTGCTTTGACGACGCACATATGACACGGCATCCAGGTGTTGCGTTCGCCAATGCAATCCCACATGCTGCGTTTGGGTGTCAGTGTGTACAACAATCATCGTGACAAACTTACAGACCAACACCACCATTGCCCACGACGAACGAAAAGTCGAAGTCCTCCTCCACCTCCTCTTCAGCAGCAGCAGCATCGGCACCAAGACCAGCATCGCTGTCAGGATAATCACATCGCCACCATCATCGTCATCAACAACACCACATAAGCAACGGTTACCCGAGTCGACGTCTGGCCTTCAGGACGCTGCCACAACTACAGCGCGGGAAATCACACTTCCCGCACAGGGGCTCCGCAACCGGAATCGGGCGCGCTCCTAGTGCCAAGGACCACTACATCGAGGAACTGAACTGGTGAGAGCACTCGAGCTAGTGAAAACAGGGCCTTCCAAGGCTTCTTCAGCTTCCGGGTCTCATCCTCTGCATCGGTGACCTGGAATATGCAAGTCTTTTACAAGGACATTCTTGCAACAGTTCTCCCCACAACGGATCTTTTTAAGAAGAACCTAGAGGGGTCCATCCTCGCCGCTTTCAAACCCTGAACGATTCTCGGATCCGAAGAGCTCTTCCGGATGTGCAGTGAGTATGGGGTGTGGGTTCGAGGAAGCCCATCAGAACCAGATAGCATCACACCGAGATCTATAGCCCTAAACTTGTCTTACACCCCTGAGAGTAGTTTAAGCTTGAGGAGCCTAAAACCGGTCCGTTCTTGACCCATGACCCCGCACAGGAAAGCCCCAGTTCGAGGGCAGGGCAGGGACTTTCAGGCTGTGGAGTTCGGGGCTTTGGGTCAGGAGCTGTCGTCCTGACAGCAAAATCCTACATTTTCAGCCCAAATCCCAAAGCCCTGGACTCTCAACCCCAAACAATGACCCGAAGGGCTCCACCCCAAGCTATGACCCACAACCCTGGACATAAAGCATTCGATTCGACATGACTGGGTGGGGAAAGCCTCGCGGATGAAGAACTGCGCACTCTCTGTACTTTGCCTGAGAGTCAAAGCCGACAAGGAGGTGCTGGGCGGTCAGGAATGAGGATACATGCTACCTTTATGCGAATGTGCATTTAGCGCTCAGGCTGGGCATTTTGCCTCCCTGCTTGTGGGCCGAAGGGAGGTGGGAGTCAGGGTTCGCAAGATTCAACTGTTGGCTTCTGGTGCCTACGCCTGGGCTCTCTGGTACAGCACTGGCTTCTCGAGCTTTTGCACTAGCGGCCTGACCCTGTGAGACCACTATGACTCTAATCAAATCACTGTAGATGTAGGGTTGGCTGTTTTTGGGGGGTGTAACATATACGATACATGACGTGGTGAAACAGGAAGCAACAATACTACTCGCCATCGAACACTCCAATTCGCAAGTGCAAACCCTGTAGGCTGACGATTGAAAAGTCGATCCGAATAGAGGGTTGAGAAGTTGGGTGCTGTAAAGATCTGACTTCGGGTTCAGGTTTAGGTTGGGCTTAGGGAAAAGGAACCTCAACGCATCCGCTGACAAAGTAGACCATCCGAAATTGCGCAGGCCGCGCTTCCTTCGCACAAGTTTAGGTCTCGATCAGGAGGTCAGCCACTGTTCAGACTCGGGTGGCGGACGTCTAGGGTTCAGTGGCGAAGGCACGCAGAGTTTGTGGGCTAAAGGTGGGTTTAAGGTGAGGGCTTGAGGCTTGTGGATTCGCGATCGGGGTAAAGGGCTTCATGTTTTGAAACTCACCCTGCTCAAAACCGGGCATCCAGCTGGCCATGCTCCAAGGTGACAGTGAGGACCATCTACGTTGGGGGCTCAAGTGGCACGTTGGATGGCTCACAATACCCTAATGATCAGGTGCAATAGCTGCAAAACCAGGCATTTGCCGTTCTTCGGGTCTTTGGCATCAGGCTCTCTGGGACAAAGTAGTAGGCCACAGGGGTCCGTTTGTGGCGCTCAGATACAGGGATAGATATAGGAATGCCTGAATAGGTGTCTAAACATTCGGAGAAATTCGCCAGCTGCATTCTGTGAGTCTTCGTTTCTTTGTGTCAGACGCTTTACATACGATGTATAGTATGTTTATCCACTGGTTGATGTTTTGTTTCGTGTATGTTCGTTAAGTTGCGTATATATCTACTCCTGTTTATACTTGTTCAGTTGAACTCTTTTTGAATACGTATACATATGTATATGCACATATGCTCACGAACTACACAACAAGCAAAGCCCATGGCAAGAGCGCTTCCGCAACTCTGGTCATGACCAGTTGCATCCCATGCGTCACCTCAAAGATGCCCTCAACTCCAGACTTCGAAAGAAACCTAATCTGCCTTGAGTTCGCATTCCATCTGCTCGGAGCCATCATTGACGCAGGCTTCCAACCTCTCCGGTTAGCAGGTACGCCATGAAAATCAGAAGGAATGCAAGGTAGCATTCTTCCGTTCGGATCAGATTTAGGGCGGCGGTTGTTTATATGAGGTGTTGGGAGCACTGCGGACGGTACTTCTTGTTAGCATTATTGCTGTCCGCGTCTAACTGTCTAGTTATTTGCTGTTGCGAATGCTTGTACCAAGTCTCACAATATCGTCATCACCATCATCATCAGCATCGTCATCATCATGATCACACTCTGGCTCATCGTCGTCATCGTCATTGCAATGCAACAGTTCAAATTTGAGATTTAAAACTTCGGATGTCAGGTTAGGACGGTTAGGAAAGGTTCAGAGTCAAGGGACGACGACGACGACCATTTCAACAACCACAGCAACAACCAGAGCCATAGATATAGCCACGCTGCAACAGCAGCACCTGCAACAGCACCACCACCAGCATCAAGAGCAAATAAGAGCAGCACTAGCGGCAGCAGCAGCATCAGCAGCATCAGCAGCAATCACAATAATGACCACCACCACCACCACAACCACCACCACGACCACGACCACAACCACAACCACGACGACAAGGACAGCTGCGAAAGCAGCGACAACAACGACAACAGCTTCAACAAGAGAAACAAACCAATTTTTCAATTGGACGCTGCGCGAGCGGGCTCCACGCATTGCGGGCGATACAAAAACAACCACAGTAGCAGCAGCAGCAGCAGCAGCAGCAGCAGCAGCAGCAGCAGCAGCAGCAGCAGCAGCAGCAGCAGCAGCAGCAGCAACGACAACGACAACACCAGCAGCAGCAGCAGCAGCAGCAGCAGCAAGACAGCAACGAAAAAATGCAACTGGCACGGAATGATGGATATTCACAGAGGCCTCAATATCATTGCCATGCCGAGTTGATGACGATTCTGGCCATGGTGACGATGACGATCCTGGTCATGACGGTGATGCAGATGCCGAGGACGATGAGGGTGTGATGACGATGATGACGACTACCATCACCATAATCACCAGGCGGTGATAGTGCTGTGAAGAAAAGTTGAGCACAGGCAAGGATCAGAATCAAAGCAAGGCTTCAACGCTTGGCCCGCAGCTGGCTAGAGCTGAGGACGGAGGCCGCGATGCGGTTGGTTCGAGGCGGGAGCAACAAAAGAAACCTCGCAGGGTCAAACCGACATAGGGTTCCAAGCCTGTTAAGTCGTGTGCGAGGGTTCGAATTCGGCGATAGAGGTTTGAGGTTGGATTACGGCTCTCAGGACTGCGCTGCATGGCGGGGTCAGGGCTGATTAGGAGGGCAGGGCTGCAGGTTCAAGCTTATCAAGCTTGAGATTGGGGCTGGACTCTATGGGCGCTGCTGTGAGGAGGGACGACGGTGACCATGGCTCCTGCCTGCCGGCCTTGCCACTTGCTTCTCCGAGCACCATGTTTGCGTGCTCGGTGGGGCTTACTTGGCATGTCGAGCAGGTCTCTGGGGATCGGGATGATGCAAGGCTTTCAGCAGACAAGTGTTGGATTTCTACAAGAGTTTATCGGGTGCTTACACTGGTTTGATGCTATGACTGACATCTAGGCAAGATAGAGCTTGGAGCGGCTCGGGGCTGACATGTTGCAGTACACTGGCGCAGGTTCAGGGCTGGGGGACTCGTTTGCCGTGGACAGGGCAGACAGAACACCCCAAACACCACACCCGCAATGCTTACCCCAGAACCCGACACCGTAGGCCATCTGCAAAAAGAATGGCAGCTGGGACCTGCTCCACCCAAGAGTCCCATGCTCTGAGCTCGAAGTGCTGAACCTTAACACCAACATCCAGAGCAAGAAGCCTAAACCCAAACACTAAAGTGAAGCCATGTAGCCAGGCGCACAGAGGCCTCATCACCATGCCAAAGGCGCATGGCGAAGGCTGAGAGAGGAACCGAGGGAGCTCGCCGAGGGAGCTCGAATTCGAAAATGCGCAGGTTTCAGGCTCGGACCGGAGAGATCTATATGGTTGCTCGTCTCGGCTTTACCAGCTGGTTGCAATCGCTTTGGGGCTGCGACCTCGGGGTTTGTGAGTTGCATGAGGATCAGGGTTCGGATCTGCAGGTCATTGCTTCGGGTTGTATACTTGCTGAGTTATGCCAAGGGTAGAAAGCTGTATTTGCTGCTCCGGGATTTTGAAAGTGGGTGCCAGTCAGCCATCGACTATAAATCCCAGCCCCTACGAAGATTCCTAGATTCCTTGCTCAGAACCCAACAGTACAAAATGGCCGAAATATCAGCCTTTGGGAGTCCGAACATGCTTTAAGGCATTCAGGTCTGAGAACTTGTGCTGCAGCATTTCGGCTTTCGGGGATGGATGAGGGCCGTTAGCTTCCATCGTGGCGCCATGGTGCTTGCAAGCTCTTGCCTCAAGTTCCTCTCTCAGAAAAGAGACGAGAAGGGGAGGAGGCGGTCGCTCTATGCCTTTCGCCAAATGCCTTCAGTACTTTGCGGCTCGACCACCTGTCCAAAGCCCGACATGGAAGAGTGTGGACCGACTGACTTTGGTTGCCACGAATTTGGGTAGTGTTGTTTATACACTGTGAGCCATGCCGGCAGCCACCGCGACGGAATCCGAAAGCCCCGCTGGAATCCACATGAGTCCTTACGGTCCGACACTGGCTCAACTCCTGGAAGACATGCGACCCACTAAACCCGCATGCCCGAAACCCCCGTAAAGCAATCCAGGGACCTAAGTAGAGCACAAGACTTTCGAATCAAACTCGCCTGCAGATGTTTCAGGGTTGGAGAAGGAAACCCTCTTCTGAATGCTCGAGACTCGTATCGAAAACCCTGATGAACCCTTAAGCTTGCGATGATTTTCAAGATCCTCTCGGCAGCAGTGTTTGGCTCTTATTATGGATATGCTGAGTGGAGTGCTTGGTGCCTCAATGTTGAGCGGCATGAGCTCAGCGGATGGTGCAATCTTTATTGAAATCCACCTCCTTTGCTCGGCGACCTCAATGCTGCAAACGGAAAAACTGGCCCTGAAATCACACACACACACACACCCCATGCTTCAACCCTGAACGCTGGTCCCAAGCTTTAAAGACCCCTCCCCTGAAGCCCTGTCGTGTCAGCTTCAGGCTGAAGCAAGAACAGCATGGGAAGAAAAAATGCCTGGAAAGGCTTCCTAATAAAGTAGGATTTCGGTTTGATCGTGCGGCCTTGCTTTCTTGCCGAGCTTGCGACCCTCTGCAGGAAACACTTTTCCTCGGCTTGGAGCGTCCGGGTCGTCTGAGCGGCCCCAACACAGCCGGGATCGGACGAATTCCTGGACAGGTCTGTTTGGTGAGAACCGGCAGCATGGGTTCCATTCTTACACCGTGGCAACACTCTCCTCTGCCCATATATCGAGGAGTGCATTGGTGTATGTCGTGTATGTTCGGATTTGTTGAAGGTCCTGTCCTGTGCTCATGGGACTTCGCGTCCGAAACATGAGATTATATTTATACTCACGATCCTTGCATTCATTCTTTTCTTACGAAAACCCGTAACGCTGAAGAGCGACTCGGCAAACCTGGGTTTTGTGCAGAAATTCTTCCCAAAAGTCTTAAGCCCTAGGCTACGCAACAGGCAGCGTGGTGCCTCGCACCCGGTAGCTATGCCGACTCGGGAGGGGGCTGGGACGTCTCCGACTCCAGCTTTCCTTGGGGCGCAGGGCTCAGAGCTCAGGGCTTGGAGATTGGGTGAACCCCGCAAGCCCCAAACTGTGGGGACCCTCAACCTGGACCCTTCATGGCTTCCGATCCTCCAAGCTCGCGCCGAGGTTTGGTTTCGATTTCATGCAGGCACTGAAGCGACCAACTCAAGGCTTCCGGCTTGCGGTATCATCTTGGGGAAGGGACTCGGGGGTGCGCTTCGGGGTGGGCTTCACTCCAGCCCTCGGGTTCGACTTCTCCTAGTGTCACCGCAGATTAAAAACGTGCAAGAACAGCCCAAGAAGGTAGCCTTACGTCCTGAAGTGCATGGGGGGTTCTAGAGCCTCGACCAAGACCATCGACCCGAGACGCTCAAACCCACACGCGCACAACCCCGAGCTCATCAGAGTGCAGAGTCCAGGGTTGAGGCGAGGCTTTGTGGTTCAGGAGAAGGGAGCTTGAAACAACAATTTCGCAGTAGTGACGTACTTGCTCCTGAACCGCAAATCGAGCCCGGATGCTCTTCTTCCACATCCGCGCCATCTCGAGGATCTTGAGATTCTGTGTCTCGGAGCTGTCCTGGCTCGCAGCAGTCTTTAGATTAAAGCGCTCAGGTAGGACGTGTGGGTCTCGGGTTGAGGGTTGAATGCTCATACTTGAAGGTTCGTCCTTTGGCTGCAGAATAGTTGAATACTCATTTCGGAACCCTCGTGACCCCACTTCGATACATCTTAGGACATCCGAGCGTGG